CGTTGACTATGCGGACGATCAGCCAAGTGCCTATGTGCAGCTTGGACCATACCCTCCACCTTACCATCGGCCAATCTCTTCGAAGATACCACCGCAGCCGAAGCTGGTCGTCGAGGAGTCGCCTCCGGCATCATCTATGATCCGGCTGACCGAATAAGCTTAGCACAGCTGGACAGGTTCGTTTCGTTCAGCACGGCGTGCACGAGTTGTATTATTAATAATAATAACATGTAGCCAAGACAGCAGCTAATAGCTGACGTCAGTCGCTTTAAGAGCGAGGTAATTGACAGATTGCTGTCCGGAGTGTTACCAAGCGAACTGCTGTCCAAAACTCAACTGGAGTGGCCTCTACTGTATAGGGTACATGTGTAAGATGCAGAGGCTTGATCTGCACTATCACACCACCTATTCGTGCCACTTAGCTCATTCTCGTTACTACTCGCTACCAGTCAAACCTGAAGCGTCAGTACTAAAAAAAACATGTTTCAACTAGGCTGCCTATTGACGGCAGCATTGTTCATGGCTCTCACTAGATGCGAGACTCACTACAGCGGCAACAGCATGCTCTACACACACGAAAACTTTGCGTCTGGCCACTGCAACTTCATGTACGACCCCGGGGTCGGGAACTACTTTGCCGCTTTGAACAGTGATCAATGGGACTCAACTCTCAATTGCGGACGGTGTGCCGAAGTCTCAAGCGGAGGAACCAGCTCTGTAACTGTGTACATCGTGGACCAGTGTACCGAGTGCGAGGATGAAGGCTTAGGCCTGTCTCCGCTCGTGTTCAAGCAGCTCACACGTAGCGATTCGTCTCAGAACATCAAGTGGAAGTTCGTGGACTGCCCCGTCAGTGGCAACATTGAGTACTGTACGAATAACTTAAGCGAAAGATCGTGGCTAGCTGTACAGCCAGCGAATACCGTCACGGGAGTGACAAGTATGAAGATTGCAAACCACGACGCGTCCTTAGTAAATTCAAGCTTCTACTTCGTACTGAATGATGAGTCGAACGTCGACATGTCGGCAGTACAGATCGAATTGACGGCGATCTCGGGGGAGACGCTCACCGAGACGTTGTCGCTCGTTGCAGGCAATTGCACAGAGGGGACATCGAACTTCGCAGCCAGTTCCAATTATCAAGAGAGCGAGGTCAACGAGTACTTCGATACTCTAAAGTCTGGCGACGGTGGCTACACGGCAGGGAAAGTAACTGCACCGGATGACGCGGAGCAGATTGTTGCGAGGTCAGAGGCCACCTCGTCCGGAACGAATCTCCTCTTCCTCGTCCCCTTGCTGTTGCTGGTCGTAGGTGGCTTCGTTCTCGTTTACATCTTCAAGAAAAACAAGAGATTATCTAGCCAGCATCTCGATCGAGCGAAAGAAAAGAGTGCATTCGGTACACTCAACTCCCCTGTACTGGTCAAGGAGACCATCGCTAAAATCTAAGCGATACTTCAGCGAAAGGAGACGACCGTGTATACGTCATTTCCGCCAAACGTTATCAAGCCGACGACATGTAGCAAGAGTTTTCTTTTATTTACTCGGTGTCCACGGAGGCCAATACGAGCAGGGGCTAATGGTAACCAAATATCATATGATATTTTTGATAAGAATAGTACTATTTTCGATATCAAATAACAATAGTAGCTCAAATTTTCAAAAGCTAATATGATATTCTGATATTAACTCGGCGATTTAAAAAATATTAGATACTAGATGATATTTTATGATATTTTTTCATTTAAGTACGATTTTAGAAGGACCAGATGTCCGAGAGTGTCCTTCAAAACCTTACATTTATAATATCATCTTCTCGAAATTGGTTCAAAATTCAATGGCCAGCATCAATCACTTTGGAATCCGCGAGTTACTGAAACGGATGAGCTTATCGCTGGGTACTCCCAGTGGCGGGAGATGCGCGTATTATAGGTGTAGTATGGACCCTGGTATTATGACTGATCCATGTACCGTGTGTGGTAAGGGAGTACACCACATTTACGCCAACGAGGTTTACACAGGAGAGCTTAGCACAAGGTATGCATTATCCTGATGGATGACAGGTCAACTAAAAAACTCGTGCGTTTTGGTAGACTATGCAGCAGCAAGTGCCGAGATACTTTTACAGCAGGGACAGTTAGCGCTCCAATCGTCATCCAAGGCTGCGACGATACCGAGGACGAAGACGAATCCCAAGGAACGACAATTCAACTTGCACAACTTCCAGCGCGTTCTTCCGACGAACCAAGTCAAATTGTAGACATTTACGGTATACCAACATCTGTGAAGTATGTCCTAAAAACGGTCCTACACCTGTATGGGACTACATCCGACAACTTCGTCAACCTGTCAAGGCATCAAAGAGCGATAAATCGCTCACACATATTTGCTTAGTGTGCGCCGAAGAAACCAAGAGCCGCAAATTACGTGATCCAGATTCATGGATGTCGTCACTGTGCAGAATTCAACACAGTACCAACGCGTGGAAGCATTTAGCTGGCCAACACCCACGCCACCTACTCGTCGGTGAAAAAAAAAAGATGCAAGTTCAGCGCTCTGAAAAAACAATTTTATCGGGAGAAAGAGCAATAGAATCAGCTCTTGGAAAACGTGTCGGCCCAGTGGAAAATACGCGAGAAAGTGACAAGAGAACTTCAAGTCAAGGAAGTTTAACAAAGATTCGAATAATTGCAGATCATTTTCGTGTGACTAGCCGTCAGGCAGGAGTTGTGGTGTTTAAGTGGCTGGCTAGATGCGGTTATCCATACAACATCGTAACGACACCAGTGGATGACGCGGCAGGAAAAATGGGTTAAAATCGCATACGAACAGAGTAACGGGGGGATGAGTACAAAACAACTCACGAAGAGAACGCGACTTAGCCGAAGCTCATCCAGGTCACAACGGTGAAGTGACAGCAAAAATATGCTGGAGCCTTATCGGGCTTCATGAGCACATCGACTTACTCCAGTGGTTTCGAGAAATAGGTGCGGTAGAGTATCCGGTAATTGCAACGATGGCGCGCCTTCGGCTAGGGAAAGAGGCATCAACAGCTTTTCAGGAACGTGTATTTTCCACAGGCTCTCAAGTTATGAACGACTTAAGGGCGCAGACAAAGAGCACTCGAGCCGAGAAACACCTGCTGTTGAAACACAACAGCACCGAAATTGAAAAGATGAAGAGAGCATCTGAGTGTATTTTAGCATCACCGGTATAATCAAGCGTTCAGTTTTGCTTTTAAGACTTTTCAAATATATCATGTTCGATATGCAGCCGTCACTTTCGTTTGAGAAGCATTAATTGGGTCTACATTTGCTGAGAAAGCCTCTAATACCTTCAACCATAACGCATACAAGCAAATTCAGTGACGAAATTTTCAAATGCACCCAAATCCTGATCATCTGATAATACATGTATACTGCGCAGCTTGCGCAGCACGAGTCGTAGAAGTAACTTAAAAAAAATGGGCTTACAGACACAAAGTCATTTCATCCGTTACGACAATGAGATGCATTCTGGTGGATATATCTCCTCTGAGCTGTTCAATTCTACTTAAACAAGTCTAAAGCACACGACATTAGCTTACAATCACTAGAATGTGCCTTTCATTATGACACCCAGTCATATAATCGTGTCCTGGACATCGAAACGGTATCAGCATTTTGCTAACTCGGCCAACGAACTCCGCTCACTACGAATTCATAAACATCTCGCTTGACATTTTATCTCTGCCGACTCGGCAGTGCCGAGTGCACCACTGTTATCATCAGCTGATCGAGTGCTCGCCTAAAATCTATTTAGATCAGGTTCTATGACGTGATAGTGATGACATGTTTTAAATCTGACAATTTCGTTGTGGTATTTCACTGGAGCACAGGCGAAAACCGCAGTTGTTTAAAGTGGATGAGTAGAATCAAGATACTTGTTCGTATTCTCTACTAGCCCCGCTCACGTGGTGCGTCTCACAAGCCTGCAAGCTGCGACGTTTGCTTAATGCATCCAGCACTGCACGCCAACCTTGCCGTCACTTTGTGTGTTGAAAACCCAACACCCTAATTCCTCTACGTAGATCGGCGACGACGTCGGAGCGCTATTTTATCAGATACTGAGTCGGGTAGAGGCGAGTCGACCGTAGGCGCCGCGGGTGTCAGCTTGTTCAACACGGAGGTGGCGAGCTCGATAACTTTCCTGACGTTTTCACTTTGTTTTTGTCGTACACCGTCACATTTCTCGTCTACGAGGAGAAGGTTATTATGTGGAAGCTCGGCGACCCCGTCACAGCAATGATCATGATGACGACTACTGTAGCACGGACAGGATGAAGGTGACCTTCATCTTTGCAGCTCGGGGAATTATTCCGAAATGGCATTGGAAAGGAACGTGGAGAGCTTAGCAGTGTCGAGGAGACGACGGGGTGAAAAGGTGATCGCTGCATCCATGAAGAAAGCTCATTGTCACAATTGTGTCCCCACTATGATTAGTAATATTTCCGCTAGTCGATAGTTAACGACATATTACTGGTGGACTAAACCCGATTACGCAATTTTAAAAAAACATAATATCGTATTAGCTAATATTAAGCTAATATTTAATAATATTATATTGTCTCAGAAGAAAATATTAAGTAATATTTTTTTTATTAAGTGGTCTATAGGTGATATTTTCAGAATATTAACTTCACCGATTTTGGAGCTACCACTAACCCCTGAATACGAGACCCTTTGACTGCATCGATATCGCTTCACCGTGATAATACTAGTATACCGGCTCCTGTTGGTGCCCTAACTCCTGTGCATAGGTAGAGGGATAGTCGTGTGTGCGCCAAAAACAATTGGACGTCAATTACTGCGGTTCAACACGTTGTACTCCACAATTTATGCAAGATGGCAAGGCTCGATCTGTTCGATCTGCCAGTGGACTCCCCTCTTCATCCATTCGGCTACTGTCGCGTTGTTGACAACGTTCGACTCGAACAGAGTGAAGCTCATTCGAGGTTTCTCTCCAATTCCAGCTCAGCTCAAAACCGGACAGGAATTTTTGTAACTCGAAGAAAAAGAAATGATGCTCCGACAGATTTCGCTTCTGGCAGCTCTGCCCGCTGTGGCTCTAGCAGGTGGCGCTAACGACATTTACTTCACTGGCGACGGCACGGCGAACGCTGTGGGCAAAGCCACGGCTGCGACTTGCGGCGCCAGCGTCGGCGACAATTACGTTGCGATTAACAGCGACCAGTGGAACTCGACGCAGAACTGTAAAAAATGCATCGAGGTCTCGTGCGACGACGACCGATGCAGCGACCAGACCAATACCGTGGTCGTGTATGTGGCCGGAGAGTGCATCGACTGCGAGGACGAGGGCGTGGACCTCTCCCCTACGGTTTTCAAGAAACTTACGGGCAGCGACCCGTCCCGATTTACTATCAAGTGGGAGTTCACGGAATGCCCCAACTCGTTTAACGCTCTTAAGGGCAGCGACGCGTACCAGGCCGGCAAGGTAGAGCCTGCCGACGAGAAGCAGAGCAAGGTGAGCATCCTGCAGACGAATGAGGAGGGCGTCGAGAACAATAAGGACAACTCGGAGACGCAACAGACCAACAATAAGTCTGGCACGGACGACGTTTCTCACGGTGGTACTAGCCCAGTCATCGTGGCCCTCATCGTAGTAGGTTCTGTGTGCGGTATCGCTCTGGCTGCCGTCTTCTACACGGCCAAAAAGAAAGGCAACAAGCGCGACGAGTGTTTGACCAAATCTTTCGACACGTTCAGCTCTCCTGCGCAGAAGAAGAAGAAGGCGGCTATTGTCACCATCTAAGCGACTCGACGTTAGGTTGGTTGTCATGTGTATCATGAGGCAAGGAGGTTCAACTGGAAAGCTGCAGTGTTTGAGTATGCGGCTCTTCGATCGACCGCTAGCGTACGTGCATGTTCTGTGTTTGATTTTCAATGGGTCAGTGGCAGTGGAACCACAACTATCGCAGGAGTATAAGTGAATACACACGATGGTAACATGATGTTCAAACATGGGTGTGCAGCGCAGAACTTGTTGTCCACGAGTGGCTAGCTATACCAATCATTGCCTTCCAGGGCGTCGGACCAAGCAACAGTTATTGGTCCGACCCTGCTTCGACTGTCGAATGCAACCTTGTACAGTACAGTAAGCTTACATTCACGAACTCGCATGCAATGACCTTTTGTAGCAACCCAAACTTGAGTCCTATAATCTTCCTCAGCGTTGGACACTCACATAGTGCTCAACATGCTACAAACTTGACCAGGGGCTAAAAAATGCTGAACCCACCTCAAGGGCTAGCCACTGAATCTGTAGAGGAATCGCTTAAGTATGGACGAGTCACGGAGCCATCTGTACGCTGTGATCGTTGAAAGGGCGCCGCCATTATGAGGATGCATGCAAGTAGGTCATTGGAACTTCACTTCGAACCACGCTGGAATATTCCAGGCTCGTCCTCGCTTATGATCCGCTCTCTCATGCTGGGTCCCAGTGGGGTCAAAGAACTCTATCCAAGTCCCAGCCTGGGACTTGGATAGAGTTCTTTACGTACTACGTAGTACTGTATCATGTATCGCTGCCTCCTTCTGCCCTTTTGTCGTGGGACACGAGATTGTCAAGCTCGATCTGCCTCTCTCCACTGGAGAGTCTCCAGCCTTTTCATACCTTTCCGAAGAAGAGGAAGGTTCTTTTTCGCGTGTGTGTCTTTCTGTTTAACTCCTAGACGAGTCAGTACGGTGCGACCAAAGTCTCATTTCAGCTTGTGCCTGTTACCAATTGCGTCAGCAATTCATTCAGGATGCACCAACAGATTTGGGCATTCGTGGTCCTGCCGGCTATGGCTTTCGCGGGAGGCGACACCTACTTCACCGGCGATGCCACGTCGTACACGCTCGGAGAGGTGTCTGCCGGCAATTGCAACTTCATGTTCGACCCCGGCGTCGATGACAACTACGCCGCACTGAACAGCGAGCAATGGGACTCGACACTCAACTGCGGCCGATGCGCCGAGGTCTCCTGCGACGACGACCGATGCAGCGACAAGACCAGCAGTCAGATCGTCTACATCGTAGACAGGTGTCCGGAATGCAAGCAAGGCGACCTCGATCTGTCCCCCGCCGTGTTCGAGGCCATCACAGGCAGTGATCCGTCCCGCTACCGCATCAAATGGAAGTTCGTGGACTGTCCCGTGAGCGGCAACATCGAGTACTGCACTAAGAGCGGCAGTAGTAGCTCGTGGCTGGCTATTCAGCCTGCAAATTTTGCCAACGGTGTGGCTAGTATTAAAATTGCTGACCAGGACGTGACGATGGTCGACTCGTGCTACTATTTCCTTCTTAACGGCGGATCGAACGTCGACATGTCGGCGGTGAGCGTCGAACTCACGTCCGTCTCGGGTGAGACCATCACTGAGACTCTGTCGCTCACAGCCGACGAGTGTACAGAGGGCACATCTAACTTCGGAGCTAGTACGACGCAGCAGAGCTCGACACAGCAGAGCTCGACGCAGCAGGGCTCTACCAGCCAAACCAGTCCGTCAACTACGGCTCCGACGGCAACAACTGCGACGCCGTCGGCTCCCTCGTCTACAGCATCGGCTGACAGTTCGCCCACCCAGCAGAACGAAGTCAACAAGTACTTTAACACTCTCAAGTCGAGTAATTCCAGTAGTGGAGTCGGCTATCAGGCTGGGAAGGTGACGGCAGCCGACGACTCTGGTAGTGACGTGTCCATCCTCCAGTCGAGTGAAGCTGGCGTGGACAAGACGCCGAGTACGCAGCAGACGACCGACACTGACGATCCGTCCCAGGCCGCTGGCTCGGATACCAAGCGGGTGACCACCAAGACGGAGGAAAAGTCGTCCGGCACCAGTCCAGTGCTCGTCGCTCTGGTCGTCCTGGCTGCTGTGGGTGGCATCGCATTGGTCGCTGTCGCCTACTCCGTCAAGAAGAAGAAACTGGACGATAAACGGATCGACCGGGATGAAAACCTGGTCCGCTCCTTTGATACGTTCAGCTCGCCCTTGCGTATCAACGAGACCATCGCTAAGATCTAAGTCGTGTGGCGTATCATTTACCCAGTAGTGCAGTACCGTAGTGTCTTCCTCTCCAAATTTACTAGTAGTATTTTCCTTTTTCCTTATTCTTACGCACAGTATTGTCCGCTGTGGATGGTTTCTAACTGCATTGTAGTGACTGTGGGTTCTCGTTTCCTCTGACTCTGGCTACGACTGCGTGTCGTGTGTTTCATTCGACAGTTCGAGTTGGAACGCACTCGAGGCTGAGACGGAACACTCACCACGCGATTCCGAGGCGCGACCAGGCGAGACGCGAGACATGCCAGTGTCTGCATGATCGCGTAGTCTGCTGTCGACATATTGAGATGTGGAGCGCGATCCACAGTGCACAGGGAAGCCACGATGGACCCGTCGGACGCGCGGATCGGAAACCCGGCGTAGAAGCGAATACCGTGGTCACGGACGACGGCAAGTTGCGCGAAGCGGAGGTCGCTGTGTGCGTTCTTGATCACCAGCGGTTTGTCCACGTAGACGGTGTGTGCGCACAGACTCTCGGTTCTGGACGTCTGCTGGTCGAAGGTATGAGGCGGGTACGTCCTGACGGAGTAGAAGGAGGCCTCGTCCACGACCGACACGAAGCCAATGGGGCAGTGAAGACGCTCGGCTGCCACTTGGGCCAGCAGATCTAGAGCGGAGTGGTCGTACTCTGGTTCTAGAACGCCTGACGCTTGGATGTGGTGCAGTCGACGACCTTCACGTGCCGGAGACGGCGTGGGTGGGAGCGGATGTCCTTCGTACGTGGTTTGGGTCGCATCGAACGTGTAGCGGTAGTCACGCACCAGATCCGCCGTCTTCAAGCTCGTAGACGGATACTTGTGCTCGACATCTCGGAGTTTGTAGTTGAGATACCGCTCGAGTTGAGTCTGGACGCTGTCTCGCGTGACCGACTGCCGTAGGTCTCCTCCAGACCGGGCGTTAACCGGCTTTGAATTGAATAGTACTTGGCTCAGCTGTAGCAGTCCACAACGCTCGTTCGGGTCTTTTGAGCAGGAAACACTGTCCACTGATGACGACTGGAGGACGGTATCACTATCGTCATCAAGTCCGAAAGCCTGAGACCACTGTGTGTTGCCCCTCAAAGACACGACTGTAGGCCCCAGAGCTGCGACGATGTCTTCGTCCGCGAACGTGCACGCGTCGACGCGAGCGATGCAGTTAAGACACAGGCGATTCTCACGCACTTGGCCGATTCGCGCTTCGACTTCACAGAGTTGTGAGCACTCGCCACACGCGACGTGGCCGCAGATCTGGCAGTAAAACTCGCGTCGGAAGAGCGAGAAGCGCTTGACGCAGATATGACAAATAGTAGACAGCAGAGGGCAATTCGACGCGTCACTTTGAAGCCTCGTAGAAGGCTGGAAGTAGATGAACGACTGGAAACCCAAGCGACGACGTCGAATCACACGCTCGAACTCGGTCAGTTGCTGCGTCAGCAAGTCGACAACATGCTTGGCCTCTGAGTTGACGATACAGGGCCCTCTGTCTTCCCACAACTCGGGTGACGTCCGACTACGTGGACGGCCATTGCGATGATCTGAAAACCCAGAGTTCTCCAGACTCGGAGAAGCCACGTACGCATGTACGAAAGTCCGTGTCCATTGCCGTCCTTCTACGACTCTAGACGCGATGTCAAAGGCAACTCCGAGGTGATCTACCTCCCGTCGAAGAGCCGAACGATACTCTCGAGGGATAATCTGGTCGTGCACTCGCTTGGGTAACGTCTTCATGACGTGTACCGCCCGATCCGCCTCTGGATATCGATGTGTTAGCGACGCAAAGCACAGTCTCTGTGAACTCGGATGCTCCGGATGACAGAGATGACTCGGAGTTAAGCGGAGCTGCCAACTTGGACGGAGCGCGGCCATCTGTACGCCCAGAAGCGCTTGCGTCCCGGTACGCTTTTCTCCGTTGGGGACAAGACGACACCGTTCGCGATACAGCACTTCTCCTCGTTCGAATCTCTTACCACTCAACGCCTGCATCGTCGCCCCATAGTCGCTTGTCTTCTGACTCACAAGGACGTTCAGTACCTCGTTTAGATGACACTTCAACTTGGTTGACGCTGCGACGGCGTAGTTCACTTCAGTTCCGTCCGCTCCGCCGTCATTCGGTGGCATCCCCACCAACTCGAACGTGCTGACTCTTGCGTTATCTCTCGATGTACGTCTCCAGAGCTGCTCGTTCTTGGACGGGTTACTACGTAGCGCCGCGTGTAGTTTCGGTAGTGAATTTAGCAGGTCATCACACATCTGCTGTCGTGAAAACACCAGCCGCTCTCGACCGTAAATCCTCGTCATTAACCCGGTTGGTTCCTCGTTTTGTCCTTCACCGACCGCAATCGACCCTCGTTGAGGATCCGTATGCCGTCTTGAAGTATTGGCGCGACGCCCGACTCGCATATCGGACAGCGATGCAGATTTATGGTCGGAGCTGTCGTTGTTGTAATGGGAAAATGAGTTGCAGTGAAGCTCTAAGCAATGTCGGCGATGCAGCAAACATCATAGTGGTAGCGGAGACTTGGTTGTTGATGGGGAGCTCAAGGCGTTGCTCCTCTTCGGTACCGTCTGGTTTGATGCAAGTGTCCATTCGATTGGGTCACCATAATGCAAAACTGGTATCCGCCATACGTTGCGCATCGACCGTGCGAGCCACCTACCAGGGTTAAAGACCTTCAGATGTATCGCTTGTCGTCACCATGCAGGTACAGTTGTAGTAATTCATGGAATCGAAACCTAATGCAGTCTGGACTGGACGTCGCTGGATGAAACGCACCCGTTCTCGCTTATTCTCGGTCAGCCGGATCATAGATGATGCCGGAGGCGACTCCTCGACGACCAGCTTCGGCTGCGGTGGTATCTTCGAAGAGATTGGCCGATGGTAAGGTGGAGGGTATGGTCCAAGCTGCACATAGGCACTTGGCTGATCGTCCGCATAGTCAACGAAGACGCAGAGATAACCAGGACGATGCTGGTTTGAGGTCTGAAGTGGTGAGACTGGCAGACCACATGGACAGCTTTCCGCTTGTGCCGTTGCCGGTCATTCCGCAGCTCAGTATCAGAGACCTTGAGAAGGTTCAGCGTGGCCTCGATGAACTACTCGAGTCCTTGAGCTCGCATGAAAGCGACCAACAACTCGGTAGATATGCAACTCGACAGTTGGCGCTAGTACAGCGGCATCTAACACAACAACGAGCTCAGGAACGGGTCTTTCAGATGTTGCGAGGCGATGTGTCTGTAACTCTAGCACCGATTGCAGCGAACACGTTGAAGAGGAGTTCGTCAGCGGATACAGTGAAGATTACGCCTCGATCAGCATCCACTCCGACCTCAAATTGCAACCAGACGAGTAAAGTGAGAGCCAATGAGGCAGCGAGTTTGCATTGGAAGAGTAAGAAGGCAGCCGTCGAGATGGCTCGAGCTATGGTACATGCCAACGCGATGAAGAAAACTACATCCATTTCTACAGGTTTTATGATATCTGCTGGAGATAATGCGTCGAGAAAGAGAAGGCGACCGCGTGTGGTGAAGAGGACGCCAGAGGAAGAAGCGAAGTATAAAGCGCAACAACTTGAGCGCGAGCGAGAGAACCGACGACAAGCTGCCTATCAACGATTACAGGCGAGACGAGAACTGCAAGCGAAGAAGAAGCACGAGCACAAGAAGCAGAAGAAAGACGAAGATACAGACAGCAGATGTACTGGAGACGTATGTGGAAAGCAGGAGATTGACAGTGGTAGCGACGATGAGAGCGAAGCGAGTGACGTCAGTAATTGTTCCGAAAGTGACGAGGCCAATGAAAAGGCAATTCTAGCGCTAGAGGTGCAGATCGAGTCTTTAGAGGGTGAAGTAGAGAGCAGTCCGAGGACGAATAGAAGCGGCGATAGCGATGGTGATGCAAGTAAAGACGTTGAGGAGAATTGCAGTCTTCAGAAAGATAAAGACGAAGATCTAGAAGCTTCAGAATGTCACTCAAGTCGAAGTACAATACCTGATCAAGTACCAGAGAACTCGACTTCAGTGATCGAAAACTTCGAAACGCCTTCGGAAGGAACCTCTTCACTGTACCACCGTCCAGTTGGTGCAACTGGCGAACACATGATGCGGTTGCAGCAGAAACTGTACGAGAGCTGGCAGAGTATCATGCAGGACTACGCTACAGTGTTTGGTCCTAGGATTGTAGCTCCAGAAGGCATGGTGCCTATTGCAGCAGCTAAACCATGGGCGCCACACTACCGAATCAACTCAACAGCACGTAAAGAAGTGGCAGAGATTGTGACACAAGCTCTATTGCGCTTAGGTGGAGGGTGGGAGGATCATCCCTCTGGACTTGGACTCAAAACGACGTGGAACTTACTCTGGACCTGGAGTAAGCCACGCGTAGAACGTCAGACGCTGTTAGTGTGGCAAAAAGTCAACCATTTCCAACATGCGAAAGCTTTTACTCGTAAAGATTGTTTGAAGAAACATATCGGAAAATACTTGGCTGCAGGCGGGAAGCTTCGACAAGCTTTTGATATTATCCCACCGACTTTTCTCCTACCAAAAGAATATGTGAGTTTCGTGCAGGCATTTCAAGAACGTAGTGAACGTTTGAGACGTAATGGGGTATCGGAAGCGAAGAATATCTGGATTATGAAGCCGGTAGCGTTGTCTCAAGGACGTGGCATCTCGTTAGTGAACGATCTGGGTCAAGTCATCTATGGCGAACAAGTGGTTATCCAAGAGTACATAGCTGCTCCTAGATTACTAGATGGCTTCAAGTTCGATCTGCGTTTGTATGTGTTAGTGACGTCGTTCAACCCTCTTGAGGCGTTTCTCTACGATGAGGGCTTTGTTCGTCTCTGTACTCGACCATATGAGGACAGTGACATCAGCAACATCTTCGTCCACTTGACTAACAGTAGTATCCAGAAAGAGAACCAAGAAGCGATCACTGGTACATGTACCATGAACGAAGAGAAGAGTGAAGCTTCTCAAAAAGACACTGGAGGTACAAAGACAACGCTAGCGTATCTTTGGAGACGACTTGCAGCCGAGGGGGTGGACGTGAAACAAGTCAAACGTAGTATCGAAGAGGTAGTGCTGAAGGCTCTTCTTTGTGGGGAAGACCACATCCCGTTCCAAGTCAACAGCTTTGACCTTCTAGGATACGATATCCTCTTGGATGCCGACCTGCGACCTTGGCTTATTGAGATCAACTCGTCTCCATCCATGGCACGAGATATCGATCTGGACTACCAGGTGAAGGATGCGATGATGCTAGATACGTTGCGTGTGGTAGACCCTCTCCACTTTGATCGAGCCAAATTAGCAGAGGTTATTGCACGACGACAGCGTGACCAAGAGGAAGAGAAGAGACGACCACATGCACATACACGTCATCCTCGAGAGACCGAGGAACTGGCAGCAAGACAGTTGAATGAAGACTTGACTGCCATCTTGCGTGGTAAAGTACCTAGAGCGTACGGAGAAATGCCGGAGGATATTGGCAACTACCGAAGAATGTGTCCACATACAAACATCTATAACCACCTTGTGAAGCTCAAGCGGAGCTGCTTGCGAGCTGCAGAGCGTAAAGCGTAAGAATTGCAGTGGAGGCTGTAGCCATGTTGGTAGTCAACCAATCAGATCACGTGTGGTAGTCCACTTCAACTGTGAATGTTACGCATTCATGCGCTGGCGGTAGATCTATGAGCGCTGTCAGAACAGTGATCTATTTTTCTCACCTATTTTTTTGTGGAGTAGCGCTAAGAAAAACGAGGTGCCGCAGACGCTTCATTTTAAAGCGGTAAAAAGAAAGAGGCTCGCCACCTATTTCTTTCGAGTCGCGCTTCATTTTTTAGTGTTGCGTACAGCCAGGGGGTCCGAAAATGATATTGTTATTTATCGTAGTAGCATCTTCACGATAAATTATCGCGAAGCTAGCTTGTATGTTGGCAATACGTTATGATGCTTTAGCTAGAAGACCAATAAATAATTGAGTTATTGCTGCAATAACCACGGTTTATTGAATCAATAACAGGTATCTACGCTCGAGTTGCTGTGTCAAGTGTTTGTGCGTCCCAGTAACCAGCATTTTCGCGCAGGAAGAGAATCATTTCTAAAGTAATGGGCTGCAGTCCATGGCGTTCTTGGCCAATCGTGGTACGAGCAACGCTAAAAAAGCGCTCCACCACGTTAGACGTCGCAGGGATTGCGTGCAAGAGCTTGTACTTGGTCTCCTTCGCGGCAAGTCGGCGTCTCGTTTGAAGCAGCTGGACGAACGAACTTTCGCCGTCGTCCTCGTCTTCACTCACTGCAGGAGAGCCTGTCGACTTGAACGGAGTCAACACTGTTTTTTCAGCTCGCGTGAGGCGGGCTGCATTGCCGCCTAAGACCCGTACACACCCTGACTCAAAGTCAGGGCTGTGAACAATTTCAGCGCGTGGGCCTAGTGCTCATAGTGAATACAAAACAAATTAGCAATGGATACTAGAAAAGGAAAAAATATGCTGCACGTACCAATGTACCGAGCGTAGTGTGGTTTGATGGAAATCAAGCCATCCAGCCACACTCGAGCATCAAGTAGTGATACTTCGCTTCCCTGTAAAGCTTTTGCAACGGACTCGACCTTCTTCAAGTCTGCTAGCAGAGCACGCAAACGGCGGTTGTACGAAGGGGACGGCAGCAAATCTGCGATGTCGTCGTCATTGCTGTCGATAAACTCCAGCAGTGTGAAGTACCGCATCACCATAGCGAAAGTGGAGCTCCATCGAGTATCTTGGCGGATAACTGGACGGAGCGGCGTTTTAGTTCTACATTCAAAATAGAAACCCAATTAGAAACGTTTCTAACTACATCATTGTCAGTTCAAACTTACCTCAGCTTGGCACTTTGCTTCAGGTTACGAAGCTTGATCATTAACTTCTGGACAGCATCCAGCTCGTCCTCATAGTCTTGCATGTCAGCTTGCACTGCTCGGTTAAGGCGGTGGCTGGCACAGCCGATTAGCGGCACACCCATCAGCGTTGCGAGCCGCCGGTTAACCGAGCAGCTGTCTCCCACCAGGAAACAGCACTGGCCCAGCTGCTTGCCGTAGTCCCGAGGCAGCATAGTGGCAAGAAACTCCATGTGGCCGCGGGCGGAGAGGTCTTCCTCCTCCTCGTTGAGCAGTGGAGCCATACAAAGAAGAGGAGTCTTGACGACCCCGTCCACCTCGTAGCGAGCGTACACTGCAATGTAATGATCTGAAGCATGAGACCACCCATCAAAGATTAGCCCAAAAAGGTCAGGTATCTCTTCAGCGATGCCACGCTCCACGGCCCGCGTCACACTACTCATGCCAGAGACGAGCGTCTCGACACAAATTGAGTCAAGATTAGAGTACCTATAGAAAGCAAATAGAAACAAAAGTTAGAAATTCACTGGCAACTTTAGAAATGCGTATGACTTACCTTTTGGCCGCCTCGTTCTCACAGAATGACAGCGGAAGATTGCTCTTTAGGATCACTCCATCCAGCTGAATAGATTGAGAGAGGAACGCCGCACGTAGTTGAGGATAGACCCCGTCTCGGCCGAGGTGGCGGTGAGCATGAGGCTCTCATGGGTTGGGTGCTCGCTTCGAACGTGCGATACCAGGTTGGAAAAGCCATTGCGGCTAGCCTGCTTTCGAACCGTGCCCGCAACGACAGCGGTAGTACTCGAGGATGACTTCATCAAACTCGTCGCGGCACGGTTGAAAGAAGAACCCAGCAATTTGTGCTGGCGTGAACGTGGAGCGCAAACTGCGTCGAGACGAGAAGACCATGGTAACGGGAGTGTCGGCGTGGGAAGTGAGAGAAAAGAAAATGAGTCTGCTGAGATCAGCCGATTCGGCAACAAAACGACTGGTTCGTGGCGATCGATTGACTGCTGCAGATAACTTTAGGAAACAGTACGCATAAATTACCGTATGTAATATGCAGCCACCATAAATTATGCACGAGCCTAGTTTAGGGTGACAACATAAATAATGTCTGCTTATTTATTGAAATTACTGTGTCGTCAATTTTTTTTTCGGGGGCCCTGCGTACAGCTGTAGGTAGTTGCTGATCTAGGCCGTCAGTTTTGGAAGTGAGATGGCATCGGCCATCTCTCCATTACATCCCTCGGCTTCACCTATCTTAGTGATGGGGCACGCGGCCTCTTTCTTCTTGAATGGCTAGGACGAGTTGCTGCCATCGCAACCAATAGCAGAGAGCTACACGATTATTGACCTATCATTTTACTTCATTTCTCTGCATACAAACTGAATGATATTGCGGCACAACACTCCCACTAAAGATGCTCACGTTCTCCATCATTTCTTCGTCACTTAACGTCTTCTCGTTGTCACTCAAGATCCTTCTCGAGGGATGGTTTGTTACCACCTTGGTCCCAGATTTGCCTTGTCGCAGAACCCAAAATCTGATCCAATACTTTATCTTATATTCTAAAGAGACTTACTATTTGTATTGTTTGTTGCCGATATTGGACTGAGCTCTTCACTCTCTCTTTTTCTTCCGAGCTGCACAGGTGCGGGTCCCGACGAAAGCCCTTCGGGGGGGGCATCCACAAGCTGCTTGTATCCTTCTTCGGCGACAGCAGACCGGCCTAAGCCACAGCGGCCATTCAGGTCCCGGCCTTTTGGCACCTCAAACGGTCAGCCAAGCGCCCATGATGTGAGCTCTGCAAGTAGAAAGTCCGATCATTCGGCTACTCGTGGGTGTCTAGTCTTAGACCAGTTGTGCCTTTCAGCGGCGGGAATTGAGAGAGTCAGGAGTGAAATTAACCGAAAGTTTGAGTAAAATGTACTCAAGAGCAAGTGGCTAATAGCCTGGACCTGTTCAATTTCCAAACTTAGGGCTAGGTGACCATTAAATTTAAGGTTTTAACTTTAAAACTAGTTTGTAACCAGAACCCTTTCCTTAAGGCCTTCCTTTACTGTAATCCTTTTCCTAAACTTCTTAATAATTCCCTTCAATTGACAAGAACTTGTGTTTACACCAAATGACCGTCAATCTTTTATTTGAGGGACCTAACCTTATTTGAGGCGTAAAACTAAATTTGAGGCTGATGATTAACCCAACTCTTTTATCCCCATCATAGATCTGAGTTTTTCAAACTGTGTTTGGCTTAATGGCTTCGTAAGGGCATCAGCCACCATGTCGTTGGTGCTACAGTAATTCACAATGATACTTTTGTCCTCATGTTTGTCACGGGCATACAGATGCCTGATATCAATGTGCTTGGTAGATGAGTGACTGCAAGGATCCTTAATGATACTTATTGCGGCAGTATTATCACACCAGCATTGGGTGGGCAGTACTTGGCCGTAGCCTAATTCTTTCAATAGTAGCCTCAACCACATCGCCTCTCGAACACCTTCACTGGCGGCTACTATTTCAGATTATGCTGTATGAATACTAATACAATCTTGCTTAATACTTTTCCAAGAGATGCATGCACCAGCAAGTATTGATACATATCCTGTGATTGACTTCCTTCCTTCAGATGCATTCGCGAATCTCGCGTCTGTGTATAGCTCTAACTTTGTGGTACTATTTCCATTGTACTCAATGCCATACTTCGACGTTCCTTTCAGGTACTTTAGTACTCGCTGAGCCGCCCTCCAATGGGTCTTATTATAGCAAGATAGATATTTACTAAGCTCTCTTACAGCATTAGCAATATCAGGTCTAGTACCTCGGACAAGATACATCAGTGAACCCACTAAACCTCTGTAATCGAATGGTTGGGCCGCTATCTGTTCTGGGTTCATATCCTTTTCCTTTTCTAATATAACACTTTTCGCTTGTGGTGTGGGTTCTGTACTACAGTCTCGCATTTGATACTTTACCAGAAGATCGTTGATGTACTTCTGCTGTGAGATTCTGAGTGTTTTCTTTTGTGAATCTCTTTTGATCTCCATTTTTAGCAGGTAATGCAACTCGCCCAAGTCTTTCATTGTAAACTTTGCAGACAGTTTAGCCTTCAGATCGCTGATCGAGCTCAGATGTGAGCCCGCAATTGTCAGGTCGTCAACATAAACGCATATGATCAGAATATGTTCAATCCCTTTGATATCCCACCGCTTTAGATACAAGCAATGTTCTTTCTTGCATCTTAGAAAATCCTAAGCTGGTAAGAAACTCATTTAGAACAGATTCTGGGTGCCTGTTTTAACCCATACAGGCTTTTCTTCAACCTACATACAAGGTGCCCAGTGCCATGACGAAATCCCAATGGCTGCCTCATATAGATACTTTCATGTAGGATACCATTTAGAAAGGCTGTAGATACATCCATTTGGTGTAGCTCCAGTCCTAGAATTGTGGCCAATGCCAACAGCACCCGCAAAGACTCATAGCGGGCCACGGGAGCGAATACCTCCTTGTAGTCGATGCCATATAGCTGTGTGTTACCCTGAACAACCAGCCTAGCCTTAAAGCGGTCAACAGACCCATCTGCATGGTACTTGACATCAAACAGCCAGTGGCACCCAAGGGCTCTGCGTCCATTAGGTAATGGTACAAGTTCCCATGTATTATTACTCAAAAGGGCATCATATTCTGCTTTGATTGCAGACTCCCACTGTTTAGCGTAAGGACTTAGTCGCGCTTCCTTGATCGATTCCGGAACAGGGATTCTGTCCGGCTTATCTGACGCTACAAGATTTATCTGGGTCACGTAGTCACTAAGCCTTACGTTGCGTGTTCGCTGCCGTTTTGATCGACGGACGTCACTGGTAGCCTGTCGCTTATCTCCCACTAGTCGGGATGTCGGTGGGTCAGTGACCGGTTCTGAGCTTTCGTCAGCCGGCACTTCACCTGCAACTGTGCCTCTTGGTTGTTTGCCTAGCTGACCGATAGCATGTACCTCTTCGTGATCAATGCTGGAGTCCTCATTGGGAAACGAGCGTCTGATCATAGCCTCTGTACCAGTCAAACTAAACTTCACATCTCTCGCTATAAGATACTTGTTCGCCTTCACATCAAGAAGACGGTACCCTTTGTATTTTGGTGAAAGTCCCAAAAGCTTGCACTCAATTGCCCTATCACCCAGCTTTGGGTCCTTCCTTTTTGATTTAGGAACATGTGCGAAACACTTTGAGCCCCAGATCCTAAATGCTTTACCCCTGGGTTGTTTCCGATGTAACAGCTCATACGGGGTTTTCATCCCGAGCCTCGCCATAGGTAGTCGGTTTGTAATATCGACAATATAGAGTAGAGCTTCGGGCCACCACTTTGCTGGCATATTGGCCCCTCGAAGTGCACAGCGCACACCAGCCATCATGGTTTGATGTGCTCTTTCAGCACTCCCATTTTCTTCTTGGGATTCGACGTTAGAGCTTTGGAAATCTAGACCGAGTTTAGAACACAGTTTAGAAACCTCACTGTTTTAAGAACTCAGTCCCACCGTCTGTCCTAATTCTGCGAACCTTAAATAAGGGAAACTGTACTTCCAACTGTTTTAAGAGGGTCCGGATTTTGCCTCGAACCTCTTTCAAGGATTTTACTGCAAAATACCACTTATAGGCAGTGGCATCATCTACCACTGCAAGGGCATACCGATAACCGAAGGAACCATACAGTCCATTAACCCTCAACCTTCCAGTAGAGTCCATGTGCAGAGTGTGCAATGGCTCTGTTGATTTGTTTCCTATCAAATTCCTGTAGGACATTCTGCGATCCTTCATTGAGGCGCATGTACTACAAAAGAATGAAACTTTCTTGAGTTCTGAGTAAGAGAGGTTAGGTAACCCCTTTAGTTTCTGATTGCTCATGCTTCTAATTAGGCGTTCTTTGCCCACATGGCCTAATCTCAGATGCCATTCCTTTAGTATGTCTCCAACTTTGCTTAGTGGAGCATTAAAAGCACTCTTTCTAGCTGGTTTCGCGCTCGGTAAGTAGTAGACTCCGCCTATTGCCACAGCTGCAAACAGCAATTTAAAGTTCTTTCCTAAAAAGAACAGAAAATCACCTGATTTAGACTGTAGGTGTCTATAACCGTGCCGAGCAAGGTAATATGAACTGAGTAAGTTGCTATCACACTGTCGGTCAAACGAAATATCTGTCAATGATATATCACTTAATCTTCCTTTTGGAGTCAAAACGCTAAGTTTTATTGATCCTTTAAGAGAGCTGTGTGAAACAGTTCCATTACCGTAAGTGAACACGGTATTCTGGCCAGGTCGGAGCTTCCCAGTAAACCAGCTTCTGTCTGATGTTATAGCTCGGCCTGCACCAGTGTCGACCACCCACATATCATCGGTTACAGTTAACCGCTTTAACGTTTTTAAGTACGATGCATTTTGTTTACGTACCTCATCTTCGAGTTGGTCCATATCTTGATGAGCCTCATTTGGGGTCTGGGTTGAGTTACCCATGTCCTCAAAATCCTCATGGAGGGCTGGGTTTAACCTCTCAATGTCGTCCATAGCCTCATCCTCCATGCACTCCTCCAACAGCGTCTTTCCGTCCTTGTTGACGTGCGTCTTGCCGTCCCTCACAACCGCTGTGATCGTGTTGATAGCGGTCGTCCTGCCCTTTTTGGCCTTCTTAGCACCTGGTGCCGTGTTAACGTCGGTGCGGAAGAGGGGTCCACCTGAACGGTTGGGGTCCCTGTCGGCAGCCATAGTCGGGCAATTCGCCTTGAAGTGTCCCGTCTGTAGGCAGTAGAAGCACTTGCCACCCTCATTGCCACCCATTTTTCGCTTTTGCCCACCATTCACCCGCACGTTGTTGATGGTGATCGGGTGGGACTTATCCATAAGACCCACCTCTTTCTTGGACTTGTCTCCAAATATCTTGCGCAGTGCGCTCTCGACCTGATCGATATTGAAATCGCCCTTCTTCAGCGAGATCGAAGAGGCCCAGAACTCGCTAGGCAGCTGTGAGAGGACCTCGACACACACCCAGGACTCTGTCACCATTTCCTCATCGAACAGCTTCTTTGTCTTTCTATTGATTTCGTTCTTAGCCTTCTTCAGTTGCGCGAACAGCGACCTTAAGTCGCGCCATGGGCCGCGTGTCAACTTAGCCCAGGCTCTCATCAAGTCGATGAGGCCAGCCGCGTCACCCTGACCGAAATCCTTTTCCAGGAGCCGAATCACTTCGCTGGGGTCCATTGAGGACACCACGTCCGGCAACGTGTTTAGGAAGAAGTCTGGGAGGACTTGGTTGAGGAGGTTCTGAAGGTCTCCTCTTCCTCTCATCCAGTGCATCATGTCCCATCTGATAGAGAGCGCCTCTTGCTCATCCATAGTATTGGTCGGTGATGGTGGCTTGTCCGGACATCCCCGCAGGAAGTCCGCCATGAGCACCTTCGCTTCAGGCTGGCCCTTTTCCAGCTGCTTGCGTTGGTACTGATGGTCGAGTTGATTGACGTGCGTCAAAAGCTTGTCTTTCCACATTGTGTACGACTTGCCCTTAAACTTCTCGAGTCCACCGCCAGACTTAGCATCGGTGGACATCGGAGTACTTGAAATGTTGCGTACAGCTGTAGGTAGTTGTTGATCTAGGCCGTCAGTTTTGGAAGTGAGATGGCATCGGCCATCTCTCCATTACATCCCTCGGCTTCACCTATCTTAGTGATGGGGCACGCGGCCTCTTTCTTCTTGAATGGCTAGGACGAGTTGCTGCCATCGCAACCAATAGCAGAGAGCTACACCATTATTGACCTATCATTTTACTTCATTTCTCTGCATACAAACTGAATGATATTGCGGCACAACATTTAGTGTTGAAGTGACGAGTCGAGTGCGGAATGGAGGAAGCTTTCTGCGCGGAGCAAAGCGTGCATTTACACACAAGCGTCGCGGAGGGCGTCACGGAGAGCGTCGCGGAGGGTGTGATGCCGATGGCCATTGACTCTGGTGCGTCTAATCGTCGTGATCCTACTCGATGCTTGCTTTAACTGGGATGATGCCGTCATTGTGCTAGAAAACAGCAACTATGAAGCAAATACAACGCTGGCAAGGGAACTAGGGGCTGTCCTGGGGTGTACGGATTCCGACAAGGAAGACATACCACTTTTGTTCAGCATAGATGGTGGTGGCGAGAGAAGATTGTCGAGTAGCTCATCAACACGGAGCCAACTCGCAGACTACAGTGCCTCTCGCTACGCTGGAATGACACAGCTGCGTGGAGATTTTGATGAAGCTGCTGATGGCATGGACGACGAGGAAGGAGACCATTTCGTTGACCTGAAATGTGTGGACCGTGGCTTCCCACTTTGCACGCATCATCTTCGTGTCTGCTGTCGACACTGCAGATTTCTTCAGCACACGCGGGTATTTGTAGCGAGTCTCGATTGCTAGCGCTGTCAGCGCGACCGTCCAGCGCATTGGTGGGGCTGAGGTCTTAGATTTCTTCGGAGCGGATGTCTTCTTAGCAGGAGCGCTCTTCTTGGGAGCTGCCTTCTTCGTCTTCTTGTGGGCGGTCTTCTTCTTGGAAACAGCCTTCTTCTTGGTCGGGATGCTCGTATGTGATGCTCTCACGTTAACTTGATCGGAGGCCAGTCGAGCTTTCTTTGTCGGTGGGGCTTCAGTAGCTTCGCTTGACGATTGCTGAGAGTCTTCCCCGGAGGCTTCAGACCACAGCACTGGATCCATTTCCTTCCCACGGATCACCACGAGGCTTTCAGATAAGCCTGCAATTGGAGGGGTCTCTTCACTTGCCAAAGCGTTGCTGCACTCCTGCGTAGACATAGCGTGCTCCAGCTGGCCGTCTTCTTTCAGCAATGCGCGTGCGGAATTGAAGTGCAAGGGAAACAACCTATCAAAATGATTGTATGAATTGAAATAGGTTTGGTGGAATAAATTTGGCGGAGCCAATTTCTCATTTGGACATGCGACGATTTATTTGGCCTCATTTTTTCTTCGCAGAAAAAAAGTTGTCGGGGGAAAATTAATCACTTTTTCTATTCGGACAGCGCTCTAAGTGAAGTGAATCTTAAGCGACAAAACTGAAGCAAACACGTTCTTGTGGCAGCAAATGGCTGGCCACTATTCCCTCGACGAAGCGCCGCCTGTCAAAACATCAGTTTGCATTCAGCTTTGGGTCTTCGCATTCAGGCACGAGACAGGGCAAGCAAAGCCGACGCAAGACCGAAAAGAGGCGTTAATTGGTGGAGCATTCTCGAATGGTCATCCGCAGTCTGTGTTCTGAAGGACTGGTTGAGGTTCATTTTTAAATTAACGCGTTATCCTCCATGGCAAACGTCCCGCAACAATCGTGTCCCAATGTGGTGACTGGAAATCTTGCGCGCCTTACACCCATCAACCTGATGCCAGAGCGGTACTCTCGTCACATGAAGATCCTGACCAAACTCAAGCAGATCCGCCAGGTGCAAGTATCTCGAAGTATTGGCAACAGCTACGTCATTGATGTGTACACTGCGTCGCAGTCCACAACTCGCATCCCTACGACGATAAAGCATGTTAACAGCGACTCAAAAGGAAGGCAAGTAACTGCACTTTTCAGCCGACCTGAGGTCCACGTGGCAAAGCAATTTGCTGATTTTGTGAAGTTGCGAGACGAGCTATACGAGGCCTGTCATACCGGACCCCACCTGTACATGAACTGCAGATTCTGCAGTGAAGTGACCCGCTATTTGCTCTTTGGAGCCGTGCTTCCTGGTGTACTGACGACCTGGATGCTGGATGCTGCCACAACGTCAGCGAATGAGGGCAGTGTAGCGATTTATTGAGTCTTTACTACAGCTTGCTGTTGCGTGTCCTGTAATCGACTTGGAAGCTTGTCCGTGTCAAGAAAAGCTACCGCGACAGCTATACAACTTTCTCTTATCATGTTGACTAAATAAAACCGATTACTTGGAAAGCTGTTTCGTACTTGAGGAAAACTTTAATATTTTAAGCTACGAAAGGGTTAATAGGTGATCGAACCGGAAACACTGGAGGTGATGAGACAGGAGCCGTATAATTTCTCAAAGCACATGACTATTATAGTTCGTCAGGTAAAAGAACTGGTGCGTAGCCCAGCTTCTTGTGGCAGGAAAGCTAGCGCTAGAGCCACCAACTCGATAATCAACGGAGCACTGCAAGTCGAGGTCTACATGTACATTGGCAACAAAGAGGAATGAAATGCGCAATCGGAAGATACGTTTTGACCTTTTTGACCTTTCGTGGCAAAGCACCGGACCCTTTCGCATTCAGTGCGCATTCAGGTACGAGACAGGCCGAAATTTATGGCATCACCTCTGAACTGAAAGTTGCAGAGCAAGCAACTTCTCACTTTAGAAATTCCTCGCGAGCATGAGCCTCTTGCAACAATCAAGCGACGACGTTGTCGGCGGTCTCGCGCGGCTCACTCCGATGAACCCGTTGCCAGAGCGATATTCGCGTCACATGCAGACTGTGACCAAGCTCAAGCAGATCCGCTGCGTCCTGGTGTCCGCTGCCAACGGTAGCTACGTCATCGACGTGTACACGCCGTCGCAGTCAAGATCTCACATCCCCACCACGCTCAAGAATGCCCAACGTTTGGATGCCCACACTCAGAAAACCTTCAGCGACTTCGTTGAGCTCCGAGACGATCTTTACGAGACGTGCACATCATCCCATCACTCCATGGCCTGCTCGTTCTGCAGCGAAGTAAGCCGTACCCTGCTGCTTGGAGCTTCGCTGCCGGGCTCGGTGCTGAGCTTGGTGCTTTCTCAACGTCAACGAACCAAGGCCGTGCAGCGGTTCATTGAGAATTTGCTGCAACTCGCAACTTCCTGCCCCATCGTCGACTACTACACTTGTCCGTGCCAGGAGCAACTTCCACGAGAACTCTTCTTGTTCCTCTTCGGAGAGTCCGGCCCGTTGGGTTAAAAAGCCTTTTAACTCTCGACACGAGCAACTTATCTATCCCTACTTACTGTAAACAAATGAACAAGGCAGTTCTTAACATTAAAATACCAGCTGATAAAACCCAGAGGGTTTATCTTGAAGCGCGAGCCATGGACCATGATTTTTCATGATTCTTAGCACACTTGCAAATCAATTTTGCCGACAGCTCGGTAAAATGCTGCAAGCTTCCCACGAAGCAACATTCTTTCGCTATGCCTTGAGCTTAAATACAAGGGTCGTGGCCCTGTTTCCATCGATACAGTGGCAAGACGATGATTGCCACCATCAATTGTCCTGCTCATCACAGCAACCGATACAAACACAAGGCGTTGACGCCACTAGTGACTACAGTTGCATGAATGTTTGTAACCACCCAACGCAATGTCACGCGTCTCCTTCAAGATAAAATAATTTATATGCGTTTAAGTGCGAGCATCTCGATGTACACCCGCCATGTCTACTACTACGTAGTATCAAGATGACGTTTGAGTTGCTTGGCGAGCTTATTTCATTTCATGCCATGGAAGCCGCCAGTCAGTCGCTAACTTAACACTCAGTTGCTCCTCCCCGAGCCTTTCGCCAAATACTATACTCCCACTACTCTCCACATCTTCACTGCTTACATCATCAACGAACAATGGTCCGCGACTGGCGTGGGCAACCTCCTGTTTACTCTGGACACACTGAGCTGAGTCTGTTGACCAAGCCCCTGTCCAGAGAAATCTGCCCGTTTCCTCTCTCTCGCTGCTGTAAAGTCCGTCGCCTCCTGTCGACATAACGTCGGACACGGCGGCGGCGGCCCCAGACCGCCAAAATCGAAGCACTCCACTTGCTTCTCCAGCGCTGCGGCCTGTTCCTGCTCCCTTCGACATTCGCCACACAGCTCGCCTTTCGAGCCTAGGCACTCGCCCCAGCAGCGTCCGGTGAATGAATGTCCCTTGACGTCGCCGCCTGTCTCCTCGAGCATCGTCGTTCAGGTCCAGCGGGACAATCTCCCCCGGACGTGATAAAAAAGCGAAGAGAAAAAGCGCTTTTTCAAGCCGAAAAATCGCTCACTTGGACCGCCACTGCCCTGTCCTGCTATTTATCCCCCACTCTGCGTCGTGTTACGCTGTTTGTGTTTGTTTGTTGCCGCCTCTTTGACCTCTGTTGCTTGATGCCACTGCTCTTACGAAGTGGGCAGCGCCGTTTTGTTTTGAGAAATGAAAAACCTCGCAACAATTGAAAAACCCTCGCTCAGATTACCAACATTCTGGACCTGGAAAACTGAATTCATCGGATTCTGAGGGAGACAGAAATTTCTGTGTTTACATGACAAAATTTGGTTTTCTGAGTGGTGGTCCATTTTCCATGTTAAGCAGGACGTTAACAAACAAGTTATTTTAACCTTTCTTTGCCAACATGGGCGGTCTACATATGTATACTGTACATGTATTACATATAGGCGAAGAAGCGTTGAATGACCTGGAGTTTCATAGCTAACAAATGATTGCTTATTCATGAGTCCAGGAGAGACTTACATGCTTAAATCCATTTACACAGTTTCAGTATGATATGCCTGTGTGCGTCCACGTTAGGCCTGGAACGCACGGCGAAGTACATTTGCATGTTTTGCTTCCCTAAGCCGGCATGCTTCCTCACCTCGTTCATATACGTTGGTATTGGCGCCTTATACAGACTCTCTAACTCTAACAATGACCTTTGTACTGAAGACGACCTGAGTAACATGATATACTGCTATACCTGATAGAGGAGTCGTCCACGGGTCACATCAGGTAGGTAGGTTTTACTGTAGTGCAAAATTGAATCTACAATCCATGCTCTCAGCCTCCGCGAAGCTCTAGTATATTTTCCATTTTGGGAGTAAGGATGGGGTATTCTTTGAGGTTGTTAGTTTGCAAGTATTTTTCGCTCCGCTATATTATTTGTTATTCCAAACCTACGGATGTAGTAATACTATAGTCGCTGAATTGATCCATAGACTTATGATCCGTGTAGTATTTCCCGCGAAACTGGTCATTATTGTTCCCACTGCGGTTCATAAGAACACGACCAAGGCCTGTACACTGCACAGGCTAATCTTATAATAATTATAATAGAACAGTAAAGCGTACATCGTGCTGACCATGCAGCATTTAGCGAGCCAATTCGGTTTCACAAGCCAGCTAGAAGATTATACCTTTTTTTTTAGGAGTATGACGGAATAGAGGAAGCTTCGCCGTTCTTGGCAAATTGAAAAGTGACCTGTCTTATGAATAGCTACCGTTCTGTAGCATTTGGAGGACGTCTTCATTTTCTTGTTTTCACTCCTCCCTGCACGAGAAGCCGTTCTGTAAAAAATTAGAAATGGTACCCTGTTTTAAATCACATTACGCTATTTGAGGAAGATGCGTACGTCTGGAAACTAGAGGATTGGGCTGGTAGCTCTTGGATGTTCTACTTCCAACAGCTTAAAAGCCATGTTAGCTTTATGTAGGCATTTAGAAATTCATCGTAGATATACATCCCCTCCTTTAAATTACGATCTCACGTATACATTTTTGAAAATAAGTTACTGTTATCTTTATTTTAATCCAGAAACGGTACTCGACCAAAGGAATATCCCTAGCTTTTAATGAGATTCATCAGTTAAAACTCGCTTTGATGTTTCTTCAGTCTTCTATAATTTGGTACACCTGTTATCTCCTGTTTCATTTCTTATATCACAGAAAAATGTGATGGTATTCTCTCTTTGAACGAATTCGTGCGTACCCATATGTAAATGAATGCACCACTTCGTACCCAAAATAGATCGTTTGACCTCTTAGAACCAAAACACGGATCTTCAAGCAATCGAGAGGTCGAGAGTCAAGCCGGGTCCGTAAACTGATAGTAGGGTATCTTTGACTTGTCCTTGCTGTTTGGATAGTACAGTGAAGGACATTGTTTAACGATCGTAAACCTTAAAACGTTTTGCCCAACTTTGCTTTGGGAAAGCGTCAAATAAAATATTCTTATGTCACTATTTTTTTAAAACGGCTTCAAAAAGTGACCAGTGAGAATCCCATTTAAATAACCTTTTTTTTACAACGGCGAAGCTTAAAAATATTTCTGTTTCAACCAGGTGTATTATTTTTGGGATGTCATTTGAAATACGATGTGCGGATGAGTGCATATCCTGCGGATCTCCACAATGGCACACGAACGTTGCAGCTACGCAATGGACGACTGCTTCGGCCTGTTGTGTGCTGGCTCGCGCTGCCGACGCGTGGACTTGTGCACCGTGATGACCAAGACTTAGTGTTAGAATAGATGAGCTATTAGTGCTGAGTACTAATACCACTTACTGCTGGTGCGGTGGAGATATTGGCACGGAGCTGCACTTACTTGAGCACTTGCCTTCTTAAGAGAAAGTGCAGACTCCGATTAAGACCTTCACCGTCACCTGCCGCATATACACACGGCACGTACGTGCTTCTCTTGCTTCCTACTACCTGACTGCTGTTTGGTGTCAACATGACAGTCACACGGAGTCAGAGTGAACTGGTGAGCTCTCGTAACTTACCTCAGGTTATGAGCCCAAGAGAGAAAGCAAGTGCGGCAAAAAATGCAAGTGAAAGTCTTAATGCCGAAACGATGACGTCTCAAGAGCAACTTGTAGACTTTATACGTGAACTTGCGGACATTCCGAACGGCGTTTCTCTTTTGACCCTACTATTACAAGCTGCACACCGTCGATTGGTCAATAATGTTCGTGCAAGTGAGAGAGCCCCCCCCTGGCAGTCCAGAAAATAGCCAAAGAGTCGAGCAGAGACCACAAGCTACGGCGCAGCCTCCAGGGGCCCAGGAAGACCCGAGCGAGCCCAGCGAGCCGAGTGAGCCTGACGAGAGCGAAGCCAGACACGTGGACGACAGAGAGAGCCGAGCATCTTCACACGGTAAAAGCATGCTGGACAACAGGCTGAGAACACGGTACAACGACGCTGAGCTCGTGGACGCGACCAGTAAGATGATCGGCAAGGAGGTGGTGCTGCCCAAGCGGAAGGATGTCAAGGAGGAGCTCGCGCGGTGGAGAAGCGAGGTGACCTTGCGGTTCCCGCTGTACGAGCTTGACGCGATACCGTACGAGAGCGAGAGGTACGACTCGCAGCTTGGCTACGTGAACCCCAAGTATTATCGCTGGTACGACACGCGGCGTGTGATGGCATTCACGGCTATGGCTTTGTCTCTTGACATGAACCTACGAGACCTCTTCAAGGTTGACGAAGTCAGAGAAGAGATGGAAGCTCCGTCTTTACTTTGGGGCCGGATTGTGGCCTACTTCACACGAGGTGATGGAATTAACCCCGACTACATCCTGCGTGACCTACTCAACCGAGAGCTGAAGCCCGGTGAGACGGTGGATCAGTATGTAACTGTGAGTGAGGAGTTGGTTCGGCGTTATAAGCAGGCCAACGGTGGAATGGATGAGTGGGAACACGCAAGTCTCCTGATCTCCAGCTCTCAGCGTGACTTCAGAGAGCTTGCAGAGCAACACACTGAATGGTGTAGCAAGAACGACAGACACACATTGACACGTGCCGATGCTACGCGTCGCCTGCGACAGGCGGAGCAAGCTCGACTGCAGGTGGCCAGTCTACAGGGATCGCCTGAAACCTGACGAGCTGCGACCGTTAATGCAGTCAACAAGAAGAGCACCAATAAGAAGAAGCGAGCTGCTTCGAAGACTGAGGAAATCGCCAAGAAGAAAGCACGTAACAAGTGCGGGAATTGTGGTGAAATGGGCCATTGGTATGCAGAGTGTACGGAAGTCACTGGAAAGCCACTTAAGCCGGAGCTGGAGCAAAAGAAGCCTGCAACCTCCAAGAGAAGAGTGCAGTCGTTCGTGGGATCGGTGCAAGCTGTGCCCGAGACCAGTACTACCAAACCGCCGGTATCTCCTGTGTATTCACCAACAACGCCAGCAAGCGGTGACGAGGAAGAAAAGTCGAGCGGGCCTCCAGGTCACCAGCAGCGCTGAGATGGCGAACGATGTTGACACTCGCGTGGACCAGGGTTGGAGCTGAGGCATCTTGAAGGTGGGTCACGAATGGGCCCTTCTACGCCTGGGGATGACCGATTTGGGCTGCGTTTCGAGAACCAGCGTCGCTACGATGGTAGTAGAGGCTACGGTTCTGGCTACTATGGCGGAGGATACGAAGAAGGACGTGTGTGGACGCAACGTGATGACTACTATGGTGGTCGCTATCATGGACGATCCAACGATTGGCGTGGTCGTTCTCCACCACGTGGACCGCCATAATCTCCACGACCGTGGCAACAGCCCCAATATTCTTTTGACCGTCGTGGGCCGATGCCGCAGCGAGGTCCTAGAGGGTGCGATCATTTTGAGCGGGGTCGTGAACGCGATGTGTCGCCACGCAGCCGTGGCTACCGTGACCGTAGCAGTGAGTCAAGAAGTGGTCAAAAACAGAGGTATGCAGAGGAGCAAGAGCCAAGTTGAGTGGATTCTCGACTCTAGGTCCCAAGCTAATATTTACAATGATCTTGCTTTGTTTACGTTTCTCTCTCAGGGACAGCCTGGTCGTTTCGATTTCGCTAACGGTACTTCTGAACGCGCATCTCTGTGCGGGTCTGTGCTCCTGCGTGTGCTCAACCAGGAAACCGGAAACTTTGAGGAACGACTGCTGGATGACGAGGTGTATAGCCCGACTTCTCGGGTGAACATTATCAGCCTTGAATATATGCAGATGACTGGACAATTTAAGGTTGAGATCTCTGATGACCAGCGCAGTGCATGGCTATACAAGACTGGAATTACGCTAAATTTCGACATGCATGAAAACATCTACCGACTACGTGCTGCACATGTACCTGGCAAGCTGGTGAACGCTGTGCAGAAGCCGCAAGACGATACCAATGACATGATGAAGGTGCTTCACCAGCGCTTTGGACACATGAGCATGGAGACAGTAAAGTTGCTGAGCAACAAGATCGACCTTGGTGTTAAGATGAATAAGGGTTCCCTGTCTACCTACGACTGTGTTGCGTGCATTCGAGTAAAGCGCCAAGGATGCATTATGCGCGGTGGGCCAGGCAGGACTTGTAGCCGCTGTCCATTCTAGTGATGGATGTATGCTCCATTTATGAAGAAACTGCCAGTGGTGCCACCATGTTTCTG